GATTTCAATCTTTGACATGGCCTTACTCAGTCAATATTAAAGATATAAAGGTTATATTTTCACAGAATGTTCTGCATCTTTATGAAGGATGATTTTATGTAGAAAACAGTAAATCACAAAAACAATGACTTTAGCTGGGTTTTCACAGGCAGGGTCACATATTCAAACACTTTTAAACATTTTACAAATAATTGTATGGTCTTTTGGTTGAAAACAGGATGGGACACAATAGACTCAACCCTACATCCTCATTAAATAATCAGACAATAATCAGAATCAGAAAGAGCTTTATTGCCAAGTATGTGTGCACATACAAGGAATTTGTTTTGGTGACAGAAGCTTTCAGTACACAGACAACAACAACACACAGATAATAAAAAATAAAGACATGTGAATAAAATACAAGATATAATGGTGTATACACTATTATATAGTATTATAGTATTTATCAATAATTGAATTAGGTTTTATTTTCATATTTTTGGTTTTCACGTTAATTTTAGTTTAGGTTTTAGTAATTTTGTTATGTGCTTTTGGCATTTTTATTCGTTTTTTTGGGGGGGTTTATATTTCTATTTAGCTTGAATTTTTTTTTTGTTTTTTTTTGTAATTCAGCTTAAACTTATTTCAGTTAGTTGCCAACATAACATTTCTAATTTTTAAGTTTTTTTAAGATAAAAGTTATAATTTCATATTTATGTTTTACCTGTGGTCTATGACCTTTACATCTACAAAAATCCCAACATCAGTATTTGAGCAAACGGTACCTTAAACTTCATGGAGCTGATCCGATAAAGAATTTCTCCCATGTGTTCACGGATCTGGGCCCAGGTGATCTTGTTATCGCTCTGCGCTGTGGTTTCGACAGCATGCCGGGCCAGGTCATAAAAAGCTATCATATTAGACAAGATCCCCACTGTCTTATAGAAGGGACAGAACCTGGAAGAGAAAAAGAGACAGGGAGATAATATGAGAAATAATTAGCACAGACTGACAAACAGGCAACTAGAACAAGACGACAGCTAAAAAAGGGGTCTGTGGGAATGTCACATTCTTCATATTGTACAGATGAATAGGTAACCTGTCATAGGGAGTGTAACCGTTCTGCTGCAGGAAGTCATCTTTAATGAGTTTGGCCACCTCCAGAGTGATTTTATCCGTCTCAGCCAGAGATGCCTATGGGGAAGAAACAAAATAAATGCATTCAGAATCAATACAAATACATTATATAAACTATTAATACAAATATATTTAATAAACTATATACATTGAATACATTTAATTAGAAATGTCATTACACAAAAAATATAAAATGCAAAAACTCTATGTTTTAATAACACCTTTTGATAAACAACATACACAAACACACCTTTCCAACAAGTTGCACAATCTCAGCCAGGTCCTCCTCCTCCTGCAGAATCTCTTTGGCTTTGGTACGCAGCGGCACAAACTCTTGGAAGTGTTTGTCATAGTACTCATCCAGTGCTCGTGTATATTTACTGTAACTGATAAGCCAGTTAACAGAAGGGAAGTGTTTCCTCTGGGCAAGCTTCTTATCTAGACCCCAAAACACCTGAGGGCAACAGTTCAAATGAGAGGGGGAAAAAAGTAATGGAAGATTCTATTACTGCTTCAGTTACATGATTACCAAAAAAACAAAAACAACAACATCACATCATGTTAATGTCATGGGTTTTCATAGGATCCACCCACCTGCACAATACCAAGAGTGGCAGAAGTCACGGGATCTGAGAAGTCACCACCAGGGGGAGACACACTGTAGAGAAATGTCCATTTCCAAAAGAATCACAAAATGAGAGGAAAGAACAGAAACATCTGCAGTTATAAACCACCACAAAAACACAGGTAATATATTTTTTTTTACAAACCTACATAACCTTCTCAAAATAATAAATCAAACTTGTCATCAATTTACATATTTATTATAATAGCTCACTTAAAGGAGACATATTATGCCCCTTTTTACAATATGTAATATAAGTCTCTGGTATCCCCAGAATGTGTCTGTGAAATTTCAGCTCAAAATACTCAAAATATAATATTATTATATCATTTTGAAAATGCCTATTTTGAGTGGAAGCAGAAACACTGCTGTTTTTCAGGCCTGTCTCTTTAAATGCAAATGAGCTGCTGCTCCACGCCCCCTTTTCCAGAATAGAGCTGGGCCATTACAGCTCATACCTGCTAAAAAACATCTGTTTTGGTTCTGATTATCATGTTTATTCGTGCTGAAATCATGCGTTTTAAACCATATTAGTTTAAACTTCTGATATACGGTTTTTTGAGCGCACACATCCGAAGCACACGGACAGAAAGCAGCTGTCACAGCAAGTGAGTACTAAACTAATGTTCTCATTCACACACGAGTTTACATTAAAAACGCACAAGTTACAAAAAACAGTTGGTTATGTCGGTGAAGGTAAACAGCTGGGAAATAAATCGCATGTTTATTTTAGATCTATGTGGCAGCAGCAATATACATTAAATAAATCAATAAATCCACTGCTCTCTTGTCTCCTCTAAGGCTGGGACTGTAAATAGTGTTCTTCGTTCGGCTGTGCAGCCAATGACAGAACAGTTAGCATGTTTTGCTCAAACTTTCGCCATGGCATTAGAGCTAGTACACCGTTGTCGGTAATATTATAATGAGATCCCTTTGCCACGTCACCAAGGGAGCGAAATCAGACGCGCTAATTTTTTCAGATGCTTGCAGAAAAAGGCTTACCAAAACAAAGTTACTGGGTTAATCTTTTTCACATTTCCTTGGTTGGTAGATGCACCGGGGACCTGATTATAGCACTTAAAACCTGGAAAAATCAGATTTTCATGATATGTCACCTTTAATGTTATTTGAGTGTACTTACGCTCCCACAATGCTGACGCTGCCCTCTCTCTCTGGGTTACCCAGGCACTTCACTCGACCTGCTCTCTCATAGAACGATGCCAGACGGGCTCCAAGGTATGCGGGATACCCACTGTCTGTGGACAGAAATCAGGGAAGTTTGATTATCCAATATAAGAAAGTTTGGTTTGGACAAGGCTGCATAATTTACTCGAAACACCATGTTGTGAATGTGGTGACAAGCACTGCAGTTGCGACTGTGAATTATTAATCATTTAATATCTCATTTTGATGCTGTCATTTTGCTGGCTGGTTATTAAAATTGCACTGCTACCACAAATGCAGTGTACATGACAACAAAATAGCAACAATATCTCAATTTGGAGGAATATCTCCAGTTTGAGATATGTATTACACACATTTTGGTGCCAATAGCAAGCATAACTTTAAAGTATGCAGTATATGCAGACAGCAATTTTTTTTTAATTAAATAGTAGTCTTTTGTGATTTAGCAACCATGCAATCACAAAAGTTTAGGGTTGGTAAGTTTTTTTTATGTTTCTTATGCTCATCAAGGCTGCATTTATTTGATTTGGAAGAACTATTTTAATATATTTTAAAATGTAATTTTTTCCTGTGATGCAAACCTGAATTTTCACCAGTCATTACTCCAGTCTTCAATGTCACATGATCCTTCAGAAGTTATTCTAATATGCTGATTTGCTGCTCAAGAAACATTTCCTATTATTATCAATGTTGAAAACAGTTGTGTTGCTTAACATTTTTGTGGAAACCATGATTCTTTGTTAAACAGAAAGTTCAAAAGAGCTGTACATACCAGCAGGCATCTCAGCCAATCGTCCGGAGATCTCCCTGAGAGCCTCAGCCCAACGCGAGGTGGAGTCAGCCATCATACTGACGTTATAGCCCATGTCTCTGAAGTACTCCGACAATGTGATACCTGTTAACACACAAGGCATGTTATGAAGATAAATGCATCCGCGTACATACTATATAGATTTTCTCTTACAGGTTTTATTGCATTACAGCACACTTTATACAGATGGCTCTTGAGTTTACCAGTGTAGATGGAGGCTTCTCTGGCAGCCACAGGCATGTTTGAGGTGTTGGCCACCAGTGCTGTTCTCTTCATAATGCTCTCCACCTTGCCGTCCACCTCCATAGTTAGCTATTGAACAAAATTACTATCAATCATCTAAACCAGGTTCAACTAAACCACTCGACAGGGTCACTTGAACTTCCCCAGTTTTGAATTTCATATCACATTCATAAACATTGTATTAATCAAAGTGACCAGGTATAGCATCATTAAACCCAGTGCCATACCAACCTCAGGGAAGTCTCTTAATACTTCAGACATCTCATTTCCACGCTCTCCACAACCCACGTAAATGATGACATCACTGTTGGAGTATTTGGAGAGAGACTGAGAGATCACGGTCTTACCACAGCCGAAGGCTCCTGGAATGGCTGTGGTCCCTCCTTGGACACAACTGCAAAACGGCAAAAATTAGGACTGTAAAATAATGTTTAAACTGATCATCATCATTTCTTAGTTAAAAATTTATAATCACAATTATTAACCAGTATTTTGAGAAATTACTTTTTACATTTCATCAGAATTATTGCACTTTCTCATCAAGAGAACGTCAACTAATATGCATGTTTTAACTGATCTCTTCTACCTTTTCTCATTCATGATTCATTATACTTGTATATTTATTATACTTCATCAATGAGAAGGTTTGTTTGCAGATTTAGCAGCAGCAAATAGAGCGAGCGGCCTCATTAAAGGCTCAGATATACTTCAAATGAAATCGAAGAACGAACTGGTGTGACGTCATTTCGAACAAAATCAGGGCAAAACGAAGTTCGTTTTGGGAGTTTGAAATGGCTTGCCAAAGTGATCTCTCCGGAAAAGTTTGCACCGGATGCAAAACACCTTCGTATTACCACTGGTCCGTGGTGATTACGTAATAGGCAGATGTGCGCTGAGGCTCCGCCTTCCTTTACATGGAACACTTCTCTGGCTCATTTCAAGAAAAACAGATCGGCTATATTACACTTTCATTGGAGCAGAATGTCACTGTGACAATCGCTAAACTCCAACATACATTTTTGTCTGTGTTTTCAGATTATCAGTGCTTTTTCTGCAGTCCAGAAAGAGCATGTACACATGGTTGCCAGGTTGGGAAGACAGAAAATGTATCCATTTAAGAGAAAAGCTCTGATTGGGGGATTTAAAATCTTAACATATGGCAACCCCAAGCATGAAAGCTTGTGGGGGCTTGTTACCAATGCAAGATTACGGAAATATCAATCGGGAAAAAAAAATGTTAACAGGATAATTAACCAGTGGGCCAACAAGAAAAATATTTTTAAAAAGAGTTAAGCACACAACAAACTTTATTAAGATGTGGAACAATAATGTGTGTGTGTGCTTGAGACTCACGGAAAGAGGGCGTCCAGTACTCGTTGTCCAGTCAGCAGGGGGTGATTTGCAGGTAGTTTTTCAGTAACAGGCCTCACCTGTCGCACAGGCCACACCTGCACCATGGTGAACTTCTCCTTGACTCCTTCAAACTCCAGTTCCAGCACCACATCCTGACACACACAATGAAAAGGGAATTTCCAGTATTTAGTAATATTAGGTTTCTTCCTCATCTTACCTAAACATCTGAGGGAGTTTTTCCATCCAACTGTTTCTTTTATTAGGTGCTATACAAATAAATTTAAATTGATGTGAACTACTCTTGCGTGCTTGTCTATAAAAGTGTGGTAGTATTTCAGGACATGTGAGGATGATCGTGAGCTTGACTCACAGAGACATCATAATTTCCTGGCGGAGCGAGGTAGGTTACTGTTCCCCTGCTGCGAGGGGGCAGCATGATCTTGTGTTTGATGAGAGAGTTCTCGTACACAAATCCATAGATATCACCTCCTGTAATGTGACTTCCAACCTGAAAAAAACAATGAAAGAGTCCAATTAAAGTAAACAAACATCCAGTGCATAATTTCAATACAAACGTCATACGCATTCAGGGGCATGTGGCTGCTAAGATTTATGACCCAAATGGATTTTGAATGCAATTTCCAAAAATACTAAAATACACATTCTTTACACATGATAATTAAGTTCCAAAATTATTGTAGGTACAAAATTAATAGTTCCCCAAAGTTGTTGCCTTTTGGTGAACGATGCCATTTTAATGGCAAAATAATATTTTGTATTATATTTCCATTGTAATATGTATTATATATCCATTTAAATGTCAACCTTTTGTGAAAATGACGAGTGCTAGGGAATATGTGTTGCAGGTGTGGCGTATTAAAGGGATAGTTCACCCAAAAATGTAAATGTGATGTTTATCTGCTTACCCCCAGGGCATCCAAGATGTAGGTGACTTTGTTTCTTCAGTAGAACACAAACGAAGATTTTTAACTCAAACCGTTGCAGTCTGTCAGTCTTATAATGGAACTGAATGGGAATCACGGCTTTGAGTAAAAAAAACATACACAAACAAAACCAAATTAAACCCTGCGGCTCGTGACGATACATTGATGTGTAAAGACACGAAAAGATCGCTCTGTGCAAGAAACTGAACAGTATTTATATAGTTTTTTACCTGTCTTGAGCGTGTTCGTGTCTTCTTCTTCAGCCGGCATGTAACGCGTCTTCTTCTTGCTTTACAACGGATCGCAGACTTATAAGTGCATTACCGACACCTATCTCTCAAATGGACCATTGACACTCTATCTACAATCTCAATTAGGAGTGTCAATGGTCCATTTGAACCATGATAAAATAAAAACTTTAAACTCTTGATTAAAACCTTTTCAAGCATGGTAGAGTACGTAAATCACTCATGAATGGTAAAGGATACAGGTCTCCTCGTATACCTGGATGGTTGCCATATCTCCCTCCAATCGGATAATTTCTCCCACCAGCTCACTGTGGCCCACACGCACCAGTTCATACATGGCCGCACCTGCCATGCTAGAGGCCGTCACCACTGCAATGAACAGACACACAGATTGTAACCTGTCCATCTCATGACCAACATCTGTCAGTCAAAATAAACTGCTTATGGGATAAATGTTGTGCTGTATGTTCAATTTTGTAACAAAGTGACTTCAGAACATGTTTTTATTTTTACCTGGGCCTGAAACTCCATGCACATATCCGAACTGACCCTCACGGTCCTCATCTCGGATTTTAGGCAGCTTGGAAAAATCCATTCTCTGTGTTAGCAATCCTGAAGGAGAAAGTGTAAAACAGTTCATTCATTAAAACTGCACCAATATCGTCCAGTGGTTCAAGACACAAGCCAAACATTAAATCACCATTACAAGACGTTTCAATTTTCATAATTTCAATAGAACCACAGGGTCTACTGTTTTGTTCCAGTTCTAATCAATATACTCGAAAGCAAATGTGAGTTTCAATCTTATTGTTATTGTAAATATTTCAATTACCGATGACAAATTTAAAGACTTTCTCGATGACAACACCATAATACTAATAGGACCACTATGGCCAACCGGTATTGGTTGAATTCATTCAGATTCAAACTATATTCCTGCTGTAAATCAAATGAAAAATGTTAGGAATTTGATTGCTGTACGAAACCCACCACAGCTAAAATAAATAAATATATGAATAAACGCCTTCACACGACCAAAACTACTGAATTACGAGATCTACGTTAGCAGGCTGTCGTACGGAACCACTGGATGTCAGGTGACAGATGGCTACTAACAAAGCCTGATCAGCAACTGAGCAGATTTCACCTGCGTAGGAAATAGGATCAAACTACCCGGTTTGATAGTAATAAAAAAAATACAATTGTATAAAAAAAAAGGAAACGATGAGTCTTACTGTATTTGCATGAAATGAACGACAATCCTTGGAATATCCTATCAAGCAGTGGAGCGAGGGAAAAAAAACTGTCACGACATAGGTCAGCTGACCTGCCAGGATTAAGGAAGTCCGAGTTCACAGTGCAAAAGACAGTGCGCCATTATGGCTCCCGTACAGGAGTTTTTGCATGGATATGTATAGCGTATCTGATCCAACATGGCGCCCATCGAACCACAGTTTCTCCATTTCCTGTGTTCATTTTATGGACACAAGGACGTTACTGCAAGCAGCCACGCATTATAACCGTTGACATTTACAAAGCCTGTGCACTGTGTGTTCCACCATTGTATAGAATTGCGTACGAATAAAAACTGCGTTGTCTATTTTGTCAGATTTTGTATTATCTTTGACGATCTGTCATGCATATTCATTACGTTCACATCAATAAGCATCACGCAAGGATGCCAACCGCCAATAAAATTTAAAGAAGAAGAAGAAGCATCACGCAAGGAATCTGGCGCTCTTTGCGTGGTTGCGTCACAGGGTGATTCCTGTTGAGACCGCGCGTAACCCAGACGTTCAAGACTTTGTTGAATGCAGTTGCAAAAAGCTCGATTTTGATTTTTCAATATTCGAAAATTGATAGCGAACTTAGTACTTTTTCGTCTTTGCTTCGCGTTTGTGGATACAATCAAGGTGTCAGCAGTTTTGTAGATCTAAAACCACCAGCTTAAATTCGCTGGTGATCAACGAGGATCGAAGATAGCACCATCATCATCATCGAGGTCTGGGCGAAATAATACACGGTTCAGCTTAATTTTAGCTGAACCATGATCTAATCGTCGAAAAATCTGATCATTTGTTTAGTGTTACAAGTTTTGATCACAAGACCACTCTGAGCATATGGCAGACCTCCTTTGGTTGTGCGGTAGCTTATTAGTTATCTGTTAAATTCAAAAGCAACCGGACTTCAACTGGAAGACATTTCGCTTTTCCTCAAATTGAGTCCACTAGATCATTAGCAGGAAATCAAACAGCCAACATCAAGAAGAACCCAACTTTATGGTACTACCCCACCATGTTGGGTATTATGGATCATCACCAAGGTAAATATGTGATTTTTTTATTGTATAACGTTACATACTACTCTTTTCAATTTTATTTTAGTGTCACACCAGTACTCGAAGTTTTAAACGAGTTTCGTGTAACACCATTTAACAAAGCGCTCCTGAATGGATTAACTACTCGTGCTAGAAGTGAGCTATCCTCTTAGGTTAAGTACACTTAACATGGCCTCTACTATCTCCAGATACATAACATCATTTTCTAAGCATACTTGAATAGTTCCGATGCCAATTCGCTTCCTTGTTTTGCTGACTTGACATGGTTGCGTCTGCTCTTTAGCTTTTAGCATAAGCAGCTTCTCTTCGGATGTTAATATGTTTACTCGAGCAAATGAGTCCTCAAAACACTTGCAACAATGTTTAATGTTTCGAAATTTCTTACGTTTACATCTGTAGCATTCCAATAATCACGTAAGGAAATTACTTTTAAGTTACTCAGTATCCAATTAGTCTAGGCTAAAGCTAACTTGACAGTTCATTTAAGATTGTAGTTTCAGCGTTTAACATTAACAGGTTCTGCCAGTAATACCGATTTCTTCTGTTTCTTTTACAGACACCGTCCGGAAATGTAAAACGGAGGCTTTGGTAAGTGCTGTCGCAGTTGTATTCTGTAATGGTTTTGAATGGTGACACAGGCTCGTTACTTATTTATAGCTTAGGCCACATGTGGCCGAACATGGGGGGGGGTGGGATGTGGATAATATCAGTATCTGCCTGTAATCACTGACAGTAATTGGCAAAAATATTTTGGTATTGAACATGGTTTCAGATTGGAGACAGACAGGTATTTAGGTAACGTTATCAATCTAAATGGACTATTAATGATTGGTCACTATTAATGTCCATTTTCTTTGTTCCAGCCTCCAGAGCGTAGGAAGAGGACCGTGGAGGATTTCAATAAGTTTTGCAGCTTTGTCCTGGCCTATGCTGGGTACATTCCACCTCAAAAAGAAGTGAGTTGAATGTCATAAAACATAGTCTTTTTGTACAGCAATTAAGTGTTAACTTTGACCATCTTCATGATAATCACCTGCTGCTGACTCTGACACACCGCTGAGTTTTTTTTTTTTGTTTTTTTTTTGGAAAAATACTAAACCCTAATAATGCTTTCTGGTCTGTTTTGACCAAGAAGATAGTTCTGCCAGTAATACCGATTTCTTCTGTTTCTTTTACAGACACCGTCCGGAAATGTAAAACGGAGGCTTTGGTAAGTGCTGTCGCAGTTGTATTCTGTAATGGTTTTGAATGGTGACACAGGCTCGTTACTTATTTATAGCTTAGGCCACATGTGGCCGAACATTGGGGGGGGGGATGGGATGTGGATAATATCAGTATCTGCCTGTAATCACTGACAGTAATTGGCAAAAATATTTTGGTATTGAACATGGTTTCAGATTGGAGACAGACAGGTATTTAGGTAACGTTATCAATCTAAATGGACTATTAATGATTGGTCACTATTAATGTCCATTTTCTTTGTTCCAGCCTCCAGAGCGTAGGAAGAGGACCGTAGAGGATTTCAATAAGTTTTGCAGCTTTGTCCTGGCCTATGCTGGGTACATTCCACCTCAAAAAGAAGTGAGTTGAATGTCATAAAACATAGTCTTTTTGTACAGCAATTAAGTGTTAACTTTGACCATCTTCATGATAATCACCTGCTGCTGACTCTGACACACACCGCTGAGTGTTTTTTTTTTTTTTTTGGAAAAATACTAAACCCTAATAATGCATTCTGGTCTGTTTTGACCCAGAAGAGATACATAAACATTTATTTAAACTTTTTGTATGGAAACCAAACTTTGGAAATGTCAAATTACACACAATTTAATACATTTTTAAAATCGTTTTTAAGAGATATAACCATTACAAAAGTTAAACTTTTTAATTAAGACATCAACTGAGGATTTACCACTTTTTTCGTGCATTAAATTAGTCTCAAAAATACTTGTGTAAAATATATTTAGCCGCTTTCCCATATCACACACACTTTTGGGACTAATGAATTAAATTTATCGTTTTCTTCATCTGACAGTGAAAGTTTATGTGAGTTAATGTGTTTGATGCTTTTTTTAAAAATTAATGCAGGGCTTAAAGTTCTCTCCGGCGTGCGGCGTTTGGCTGCGAGAGAAAAAAAGATAGTCGTCCTACATTTAAAAACATTTGTTGATATCACGTTCGAGTTCATGAGTTCGCCTACCAATGTATGAGCGGAACACAGCTTTCACTCTCAACCAAACTAACATTACTAGCCAATCAGAAGTTTTTGCATTTACATTTACATTTAGTCATTTAGCAGACGCTTTTATCCAAAGCGACTTACAAATGAGGACAATAAAAGCAGTCAAAACTAACAAAAGAGCAACAATATATGTGCAAATGACAAGTCTCGGTTAGCCTAACATTGCCACAGTCATTTCATTCTTTGCATGTGCTGCACTTTATTTGTATCATTTGTTTTATTAGTTTATATATTAGAATTTGAAACATAATAACACTATTTTTTGATAAGTGAAAAGTGAGATCTGATTTTAGTCCTTGAAAACCAAAAAAGTAGTGCAAGTCCTTGAAAGTCCTGGAATTTTATTTTGCAGTATCTGTACGAACCCTGGTTAAGTTACCAGTTCTTGGACCATTTTAATGTTTTTGTTGTTGTTAATTGAACTGAACTGTAGTTTTCTGTAGTAAACTGTCTTTGTATATTTCCTGTTTTATATGAATTTCCTAGTATTTAATTTACCTTTTTTTTTTTTTGAACAAAACAATTTCAGAAATTTCATGTTTTAGATTGTAGGTCATCTTGTACCCTGTCAAGGACAAAGCTAACCAGCAAAACTTAATATCAAAAGCATCCTAAATGTTACATGTGTTTCCACCATATTGTAGTGAGTAAACTTCCTTGGTATTGCGGTTTCAAATATCCCACCATAATCTGTAGTCTGAGCCTGTCAAGGGCTAATGGCAATGGCAGATACGTTACTAGTTAGTTTCAAGGAAAATCATTTTCTTTTTTTGTTTGCCAAATAACCCTGTGTACGTGATTCTGGTAAATCTCCGATTGTATGTTCTTATAAATTTATATAGTGATACATTCCAATAAAATTTCTCATGAATATTTTTTTTTAATTCCCTATCACAGTTTTTTTTTTCTGTAGTTTATGTACATTTTGAATTATTTATATATGTATATGTGTAAAATATAAGCTTACTTTCCACCATGCAATGCAAAATTGTATGCAGATTTTGAAAGGATTATGAGGGTAAATTGTGGTGATTTGTGTTTCCAGGAGAGTTCATGGTCTCCGTCTTCTTCTCCATGTGCACACGAGCTTTCTGAGCTCTCAGCCGAAGGGTCTGTAAAGGATAGCTGGACAGAAGCACACTCTGACCTCAACAACATTCAATGTTTGGTCCACAAAGCTGAGACAGACAGCAGCAGCAGCACAGAGTTCAGCCATCTTCAGTCGGACAGCTCCTTAGACAAGATGAGATTGAAAGACTCTCTGAACCAGATCCATCTGGATAGTAAAGCTGAGAGGAAGAAGGTGAAGAAACTCGGGCGCTTCTCTTTAGGAGGGCCGAGGAAAAGCATCTCAGAGGCAAGGGCACACAAACAAGCGAAAGCAGCACTAAAGAAAATGAAGAGATCAGTAAAGGCTGAGAGACACTTTCCATCCACAAGCGAGGGGTTTCAAAAGGAGGAGGGGCTAACTGAACAGGCCGTTCACATGCATGAGGCGGGGCTTAAACTGGAGTCCAATCAAGAAACAGACCTGAGCTCTTGTGAAACGGACACATTGGTGACTGATGAGGATATTATGGTTGAGTCTGGTAAGTGTCTGTTTAGACTTGGTATGCTAGTGCTGTATTTAATATATATAGCTATAATAACATTTCTGTCATTAATGTAAACAAATTTTTTGCCTGTCATACCGTCAAGTCCTATTTTATCTGTCCTTGAAGAAAACATCTGATCATAACCTTATTTTGTTTTATCCATTGTAGGTGATGATTCTTGGGATTTGGTTACGTGTTATTGCGGGAAGCCTTTTGCCGGACGTCCCATGATTGAATGTGACGAGTGCTCCATTTGGGTCCATCTCTCCTGCGCTAAGATTAAGAAGTCCAACGTACCTGACATTTTCTACTGCTACAGATGCAGGGACTCTCAGGGCTCCATGGTCAAAAGAGACCACTGAGAATGAATGTGTGGGTGCAGATCTTGTGTCTATTTAAATGGATGAGATGTTCTCATATCTCTTTTTTTTTTTTTTTTTTTTTTTTTTTTTTTTTTTTTTTTTTTTTTTTTTTTTTTATATATATCTCCATTTGTTCTCCTTTGTTCTGTGCTGAAAGACTGGTCTTGGTTTATGGCATTAAGTGTTTATCAGGTTTAAGGTGTACTAAAACTGCACTTATTTGCACTACTATATGAGTGGTGTGTTTTTGATTGTACACAAACCTAAAATTATAATTGGTGGCAAATGTGCACTGACCACATATTATGTGGATAAATAAATGAACATCTCCCTTGGCCCTCTGGTATTTCACAGCTGTTGTCTCTTATTTACATATTATACACTTATTTATATATATATATATATATATATATATATATATATATAAGCTCGATACCATTGGCCCTCTGGTATTTCACAGCTGTTGTCTCTTATTTACATATTATACACTTATTTATATATATATATATATATATATATCCCCTCAGTGATGAATGTCTAGATGGGTGAATCTCACAAAACCTGTCAAGGATGTGTCTGGGTCATATTTCTCTCCAAGTCAAAAGAAAATTGAGCATATTTTAGGACCATTAAGTTTTCTTGACATTTAACCCCATTTCCCTCCAAAAGCCGTGCACATGCATCCATTAAAGCAACTCCACTTCCAATGAAGAGATGTTCTAATCCAGTGTTTTTCAGTCTTGCACCTGCGGGAACCTCAGCACAGGTGTCGCACTAAACAGACACACCTTATTTGGGTCATGGAGCACTGTATGAAAGACTTGATGTGTGCAAATAGGAGTGGTAGATAAGGGATACCTCCAACACAGATCTGTACAACTCTCAAACGCTGTTCAAATATCCTCACTTTTATTGTTACAGGATGTTCTCAGATTAACCTTTGACCATTGTTAGGCAAATATCAGCAAATTTAGATCGTTTTATTGCTTGATTTTTGCTATTTGTGTATTCTGTCAAATACAATGCTAGAAATGTTTTTGATTTTAAGACTGAAAACAGATTTCTCTTATTTTGTTTATGTCCTGCTCATCCCAGTGTATAATAGTACATGTATGTACAGGTGTATATGTTCGAATGATGAGGAAATGCTATATTTTTCTGACCATTTACAGCAGTGAATTCTGAAAATAAATGTTCTTTTAAAGTCAAGCTGTTGTTCATGTGCACTGTTTTGTTTACTGATGTCACTACTCTTTCCGTGAGTAATATCCAAAGGGAGTGTAGGCAACGGGGTGTGACTAGACATTCACGTATACACACTTTCCCCCGTCACATGCTGTAGTAGAGGTGTGTGACTCTTCACTTCATCTGCTGTAACGCTGTGCTTGCCATTATTTCAACAATCAGCTACTTAATGTAAGGTAAGCGCATATATGAAATTTGACCAATTCAAGCTTCTCATTTTTGAGTATGTAATTTTTATTTGTGTAGTTTGCTTAAAATTTGCAAGTTAATGCAAATTTCTTTAAAGGAAAATGCTATTTTTGCGATTTTGTAGGCAGGATATTTTATCAACATATTCTGTGCTTCAAAGTAATGAAACATTTTTGTATAATAGAAATGACCTCAAATACTTAAGAGGATCATCGGTGGATTAGTGTCTCTTAAAAGGATAGCATGTTGATTTTTCCATAACCATTTGAGTGTTGTGTTGTTGATCTATAATGAAAAACAAATGATTTCCTGTAATTTTACACCGGTTAAGCACAATGGTTTGTTTTATTTGTGAGGTGTGTGGAATAATGAATTCTTTACTATTTATTGGAAACCCTTTTGCTGTTTAGTGAGTTCAACATGTCTGAGCTTTATTCTAATCCAGCGGCTGTGCCACCTGGTTTGGAGTACCTTGCACAAGTGAGTGTGCCATTTGAAATGAATTAATGTAAATAAGACAGTAAGAGTTGTAAAATTACATATTTCCACTATACGCAAATAATATAATATGTTAAAGGGACAGTTCACCCAAAAATGACCTTTGGTTCCAAACAGTTTCTTTCTTCTGTTTTGAAGAATGTGAGTAAGCAAACAGTTGCCAATCCCCATTGACTTCCATAGTATGGAGAAATCTATGGAAGTCATGGGGACCAGAAATTGTTTGGTTACCAACATTCTTCAAAATATCTTCTTTTGAGTTCAGCAGAAGAAAGAGATCCAAATTGAGGGTGAGTAAACGGTGACAGAATCTCCATTTTTGGTTGAACGATCCCTTAAAGGTGTACACAATAATTGGTATATCTTATGATAGGAAAATGTATAATGGAATATCTCTGCTTCCTGTTCTGCTCTAACAGATTGACCAGATATTAGTCCATCAAAAGATTGAGCTCCTTGAAGGTAAAGTATATGAAGTTATTCAACTTTTGTTTTCATATATGACAAAAAAAGTTTAATAACTTTAAATCTGTATTTATCCCTTTATCACTAAATAATTATCACTAAATAATAAGTCAAATGCTAATGAACAATTTCTCTTCTTTTCCAGCAATTATTGGCTTTGAGACTAATAACCAGTATGAGATTAAGAACAGCGTGGGTCAAAAGATCTTCCATGCTAAAGAAAACACTGACTGCTGCACACGGAATATCTGTGGCCCTCTGAGGAGTTTTGATCTGCAGATAAAAGACAATTTTGATCAAGAGGTCATTCACTTAATCAGGCCTTACCGCTGCACATCCTGCTGTTTCCCCTGCTGTCTTCAAGAGGTAACAACTCAGAATGCAGCTGCAGAAGTTCTGTGTAGAGTTTTTCTGACCTTTGAAGAGAGAGAAAAAACATTTCAACAAGATAGATTGCTGAAATTGCATAATTTACTATAAATATGTTAAACTCTATATGTATTTCTATAACCCATTCTCCGGTTCTTTTTCCTGTCTGGATGTGGCATTGACTGAAGATGGAGGTACAGGCTCCACCGGGGAATACAATAGGTTACATCAAGCAAGACTGGCACATGTTTAAGCCCAAGTTCTCCATCTATGACATGTCTAAAACAAAGGTGCTGTCCATCGAAGGGCCTTTGTGTGCCATCAGCTGCTGTGGGGATGTGGATTTTGACGTATGTATTTATGTGTGATTGTGTCTGTTCGCCATGTATGTGTGACCGTGATTATTTTTGAGAGATTGCAACATACAGTATCTGGTGAATGATTATTTAAGGATTTCACAATTATTACTAGTGTTAATATTCATGTTGTGTTTTACAGACTAAAAAAAAAATTTAAGTTTGACAAAAGGTTATGTGCGTTTGTCTGTCCTGTGCAGGTTACCGGTAAGGATGGGCATTCTGTAGGTCGTATCAGTAAACAGTGGACTGGCTTGATCAAAGAATCACTGACTGATACAGATAATTTTGGCATTAACTTTCCCATGGACTTGGATGTGAGGATGAAAGCAGTTCTGCTGGGAGCATGTTTCCTTATAGTGAGATATGACACAAAACATTCATTCATCCACCAGTTTAGCTACTTCCTGTTACTTTCTTTATATGACCATTCATATATTTCATTTGATCATTTCTCTGTGTTGTCCTGCAGGACTTCATGTTCTTTGAGCAGACCGGTGACTCTGGACAGCGATGCAGTGTGTTTGGCTAGTAGGGAGTGGGAGATAGTTTGAGGTTCTTGATTTCTCTGGTATATTCATATGTAGTATCACTACCGTTACCACTTGTATGTACTAACATCAGTAAAATCACTATAAAAGCATTTTTACAAAATAGATGTAACCCAGTCTGGCTATAGATAAACAATGTTTTGCTGTTGATTTTCTCTTTTGTAAGAATATCAAATAATACTGTACATTTCCTACTGAAATCTCTTTGCCCTCTAGAAAAAAAAATGTTTCTATGACCACACCTCTGAAACATGTCATGCATCACCAGTTTTATGATGATAAAGTTCAGAGTAATTACTTTCCATCTTTTTTTTTTTGTGAACATCAATGGAAAGAAGTTGTCATGAACAACCCAACATTTGCCCAATGATTATCACAGATATAGATGATCATTGCTGATTATGAATATTAATTTCTGGTCATAGTTTACAACTACAGTGCGTGAGTAGGCTTTTTCTGCAGACATTGTGCCAAAAATAGCACATATCCAGGAATGGCATACATAATTATTAAAATATGCAATTTTTTAGTGGTCATTTGCAAATAGAGAGCTGATTGATCGTTCACCCATTTAGGGGTGCATAATTGTAGGATTCGCCAAATATCCTCATTGGCCTCTGGATTTTCATAAAGTTTGAATGTAGCAACCTGAATAGCTAAACACTGAATCAGTCCACTGTAGTAGACACCATGTATCCAAGGGTTAATATCACCTGAGAAAAAAACAAACAAACATCAATTCAATGATGCTTACAGTGGAGAATCAAGTTTTTAGAACTCTACTCTGCTTAAATGTTGTAGCCTACTATATCATTTACATTTACATTTAGTCATTTAGCAGACGCTTTTATCCAAAGCGACTTACAAATGAGGACAATAAAAGCAGTCAAAACTAACAAAAGAGCAACAATATATAAGTGCAAATGACAAGTCTCGGTTAGCCTAACGCAGTACACGTAGCAAGCTGTATATATATATACACATATATATATATATACTGTATATATATATATATACATATATATTATACACACACACACACACAGGGGTGGTTTTGTAGGCAAACATTAATGCCTTGAATTTAATGTGAGCAGCTACTGGTAGCCAGTGCAAATTGATGAACAGAGGTGTGACATGCGTTCTTTTCGGCTCATTAAAGATTAATCTTGCAGCAGCATTTTGGATTAATTGTAGAGGTTTGATAGAAGTGGCTGGAAGACCTGCCAAGAGAGCATTGCAATAGTCCAGCCTGGACAGAACAAGAGCTTGAACAAGGAGTTGTGTTGCATGTTCTGAAAGAAAGGGCCTGATCTTCCTATCTTCATATCAATCAAGATTATAACAATATTACACTTTTCATTTAATCGTCACAATTAATTATTTATGTCTGTGAATATTTCCATTATACACATATTTTATTCACTTTTTTTTAATGTGTGGGGCATTTCAGAGAAAATTATTTTAAAATATGTATAATAATTTGAAGAAACACTTATTGGATCCTACTGTATAGGACAATTCTCACAAATTAATTTTCAGATGTATTTTTTTATTAATACTCAAAAATCAAGAACAGTATACAAAAAAATAATACAACCATCAACATAAAACTGATAAACAATAATTTTTCAGATGCATTTTATATTCTTTTTTTTATTTTTTATTAATGAAAATAGAACAAATAACAAACAGAGCATAGCATAAGACAGTCAGTGCTATACAAAGTGTGACATTAATTAGTAACGGGCACTGAAAATAATGTCATAATATTTTAAACATGTTAATGACTTTCAGAGAAGAAAGAAAACAATCAAATTCCACTAAAAATACCTTAAATATTGGGGATGAATTTAAGCATTTTAGTTTATGTATATACAATTTTAAATATTACAAAGAATAAATGTAGTATTGTCTAATTTCACAGTTAGAATAACCCATCTTCCGTTCTCGCACTTAACAAAGTTCAGAACTTCTCCTTTAAATCTGTTCATCAAAACCATAACTCCTGCTGAATGCGAAGTGCCGTGACTGAAAAAAATAGATTTTCTCCACTGAGATTTCCAAAATGTTTCATCCAAGTCCGTAGAATGTGTCTCTTGATGCGTTTTATATTCCTGCCCATCGCGAACACTGACGTGACGTCATAGAGACGCGGCGGAAGAAGAGTGTTTTCGCTCTAAAGAAGCGCCAGCTCTCATTGAATGAGCCGAGATTTAAATCATTTTATCATTTAATATCCTCGCAAAACGTAGTTATTCGCTTTTTGCGTTGGCAGACAACGCCTAAGCTTTTGGCTTGAGGTTACGGTTAAACGGTGAGTAATCGCTGGTGCCGACACCCCACATTTTCTGCATCGCGACCCCGGAGGCCGAACAGTGTTTATTTGTGATCGGTGCTTGATTTGCCCGCTGGAATGATGCGTTATATGACCAATGCTTGTGGCGCTCTGCTCTAGTAAGAAACTTGAAATATAATTTTAGCCAAATACCAGACTGGTGTATTAGCGATGCTACAAAGCCTGCTCCACTTCACACTTTTCGCATAATTCAGAGTAAAAGAGCAGAACAAAGCGCATCGTGCACGAGTTTATCTCCGCTGCTCCAGCACTGCCGTTGCTTTGCCTTTCTTCTTGCGTGAAAGCTGACAACTGCATGGACAAAATACAGCCAAATACATGTGCTAGTTTTGCTTTAAATAACATTAAAATGAAAGTACTTTTACGTAAGCGTTTAAATGAATACATTGTCCTAACATCTATAAGTGTTTTCTCTGGTTTTCTTAAGAGACGTCAGTGTCAGTCCAGTGATCTCTATGTACGCATAATCGTATATTAGGCCTATATACCAGACGTTTTGAGCCTTTGAGACGCAGTGACCCCCTCTCAAACTCTCAAGCAAAAATTCTCAACATTACTTCATATTAACTGTCAATAAAAAACTACTGACATAGCTTCAAAAGAAAATACTTACCTATTCATTATGGGGTAAACAATACACTCATATCTTGATTTGGTTTGATACACAGTGATAAACTATATGAATCTTACCATACATACTCTCATGATACTTTAAACGAGGCTAAAATAGTTAATTTTTAAAAAATGATTACTTCTAAGATATATGACAAAGAGTTATCAAAAAGTACTATATTACATCAGGAATGGACTTGAGTAGGCCTGAACTTGATCCTTCTCCTTGCACAGAGCAAATATTACACCAGAACAGAAGTATTCATGATTTTGCTTAGCTAAAAATACTAAATTCTGTTAAAATACAGTACACTCTTACCCTGACTACATATATTTAAGTTTTAAATATCGTATTTTATTAAATAATCAATTTGTAGTTAATTATTAATAATCAATAAACATGAAAGCTCAAATGTTTGACCATTACCATATTTGATGCTAAGTTAAATCTGTCTAAACTATAATTCAAAATTTTTGGTGAATTATACACAATACATATTGTCACTATCCATGATACATATTGTTGCATTTTTGTATTGTTATATATTGTGACATGTTATAACACCTCATAAGTTAGATTGTTATTAAGTTAGTTAATAGTTGGAAATGTTATGAAAATTTGTTGTTGTTGTTTTCATCTCAAAGGCCACCCTCCAATAATTGCCTACAGTTAAACATTTTCAAGTGAGGCCTGATTAAAAATATAAAATTAGAACTATTTATTAGTATTATTTAAATGTATTTTATTTAAGTCCTCATTATATCAAGACTGAGCCTATTTACTTTGTTACCGCACATTACTTGTCTTGAAGTGAACAATTGATCCATGCTACTTGATCCACATCTGTGCTACCTAAAAAAAAATTGGTGCACTAAAATCAAATTCAACATTCAAAGTTCAATTCTATCGTAATTTACTCACCCGCAAGTTGTTCTAAATCTGCGTGAGTTTCTCTCTTCTGCTGAACACAAAAGAAGATATTTTGAAGAATATTGGTAATTACACATTTGATGGTAGTCACTGACTGCCATAGTATGGAACAAACTATAGAAGTTATCGTCAACTGCTTGGTTATCAACATTTTTCAAAATATTATCTTTTGTGCTCGGCAGAAGAAAGACTCACAGGTTTGGAGCAACTTGCGGGTGAGTAAATAATGGTAAAGAACCTGATTAGTGACACATATACTAAATATATTGAGACTAGACCTTTTTCATAAGTCTGTTTTTTAACTAGTTTGGTATCTTCTACACTTTTGTTGTTCTTCGGTTGTTCTTAGTTTGGTCATTTGGACTGCATAAACGCCTAATATTAACAAATTAAAATGCACAAAAAATAATCTTGCTGAGTTAATATTTGTATCTCAAATGTCAACTAGAGTTTTATTCACATTTTAGGTCACTGAATGTGCTTGCATTCTTATTTTTTTTCCATTTAGCAATCTGTTGGTTCTCTACTCTGACAATTGACATGTTTTTTGTCATGCATTAGCGAGGAGGCAGGCTGGTGCAGGTCGTAGGGTGCTCCTGGATCATGAGAGACAGTGGCAGCAGCCTGGCTCAAACACACTGGTCCAATGAGCTGACGCTGACAGCGGGGCAGGAGGGCACTGGGGGTGGGGGTGCCATTGGAGGTGGCCATTTAATGAATCCAACCATGGCCCAACATGCACCGAGCCCAGCCCACTTCAAACTGAGACGCAGAGAGGAGGACGTCAGGATGTGGGGTGCAGACTTTACTGTCCCTGAGGTGAAGGACGAGGAGGAAAATGTGGACATGGAGAGTGAAAAGGAGGACAAGAAAGCTGAGGGTGATTTGCAGCGTAATGATAAAGGTGACGATGAGGAATGGGGCTCGCCAGAGCACTCACGGCTAGTGGAAATGGATGTCAGTGTTACAGGTGACTTTACCCACTGCTTGGCCCAGACTAGCCCCAGTCCGCTCAAAGAGAGGAAGCTAGCCCGGTTGCGCTATCAGGGCCAGAGGTGTGTGAGTGTTCACTACCGTTTGGCCCAGCTTTGGAGAACTTGGCGCCAGCGAGCCAAATGGGCAGGAACTATGGGATACAGGAGGGTACGCAGATGTCACAGACGCCGCCACTATCGCAGTCGACCTTTTCAGAGACTGCCTGGCAGTTCATTG